CGAATAAGTTAAATTTCCTTTTATAGTAATGATTTACATAATTTTTAGCCTGAATTATGATTTTAACTCAGTTAAATTTAAGGATTTAATGCCCAATTAGAATTTTAACTATACTATATATGGCTAAATGAATACTCGAATAACCACTATGCTTATTCGAATACTCGAATATACTCGAGTTATTCGAATAACTGTTACATAATTCCAAACACTATTTTGTTAGCTTCAGTTTTTACAAATCATTGGGGTCTTCAAGGAATATATTAGAAGTATTTTGAGAAGTTGAATGCTTGTTCTGATTTTGGCATAAAAGTGCTGACTTATGCAAAAACTTCTTCTCCCTGTTTCTCTGTCTCATCATATCACTTACCTTTTTCTTACTCACTAAGACTAAGAATTCATCAGTCTTCCTATTTTCTAACGATTTATTAAATATACTAGGCCAGGGTTGTGGTAATATACCTGTACTAGCAAAATTCTAGTACGTACTGTACTAGTAAAAATTTCGTACAAGTACTAAGTACACTGTACTAATACAATTATTACTTTTTAGGATATAATTTAACCATTTTAGGTAGATATCATGTGATCAATATTGTTTATATTTATAAAATTAACCAATAAAATTTATTAATAGTATGTACTACAAATAATTTTTTCAGTATGAACTCGAGAACTACAACAAAAGACCAAGAAAGAGTACGAAGAGACAGTAGTCTCAGCAAAACTGAACAGAACTTCCTGGAGTCGATACAGAATAATAACGCTGTACGCAGAAAAGAAGCTATAAAAGAAATAGTTTTAAAGTGTTCAGCAACGTCTTTCGACGTTTACATAGATGAAATAAAAAGACTCTCATGGGAAAATTCAAAGTTGCGGCAGAAAGATCACATGATAGACAGGAAAGGCAAGATGGAGAAAATACAAGAACGAATAATATCGCAGAAAAATGAACAAATAAGAAAAATTTCGCAAGAAGTAGAGAAAACGAGATCAGAACTAAAAAGGTTAAGACTGGCGTCAACAAAGAAATCGATCAGCTGAAGAAATCTAAAAAAGGAAGATCGACATCAAATAGGAGAAAACAGGAAGAAATTGTAGAAATACCAGTTTTACCAGAAAATACCTATAGGCCAAGAAAGCACGTGACATATTTTTCTATGATAT